TTGAGTCTAAGGGCAGTGTTAAGCCTATGGGCAGTGTTGAGTCTATGGGCAGTGTTGAGTCTATGGGCAGTGTTAAGTCTATGGGCAGTGTTGAGTCTATGGGCAGTGTTAAGTCTATGGGCAGTGTTGAGTCTATGGTGCAGTGTTGAGTCTATGGGCAGTGTTGAGTCTATGGGCAGTGTTGAGTCTATGGGTAGTGTTGAGTCTATGGGCAGTGTTGAGTCTGTGGTGCAGTGTTGAGTCTATGGGCAGTGCTGAGTCTATGCGCAGTGTTGAGTCTATGGGCAGTGCTGAGTCTATGGGCACTATTGAGTCTATGGGCAGTGTTAAGTCTATGGGTAGTGTTGAGTCTATGGTGCAGTGTTGAGTCTATGGGCAGTGCTGAGTCTATGGGCATTGTTGAGTCTATGGGCAGTGTTGAGTCTATGGGCAGTGTTGAGTCTATGGGCAGTATTGAGTCTATGGGCAGTGTTAAGTCTATGGGCAGTGTTGAGTCTATGGTGCAGTGTTGAGTCTATGGGCAGTGCTGAGTCTATGGGCAGTGTTGAGTCTATGGGCAGTGTTGAGTCTATGGGCAGTGTTGAGTCTATGGGCAGTATTGAGTCTATGGGCAGTGTTGAGTCTATGGGCAGTGCTGAGTCTATGGGCAGTGTTGAGTCTATGGGCAGTGTTGAGTCTATGGGCAGTATTGAGTCTATGGGCAGTATTGAGTATATGGGCAGTGTTGAGTCTATGGGCAGTGCTGAATCTAAGGGCAGTGTTAAGTGTATGGGCAGTCTTCTTTGGTTCTTTCGGTAAAGTCACGTAGAATGAGAATAAAATAATAAAATAAAATTACACAATAAAATTCTCACGATGTTGCGGCCACAACACAAGCGGCCTTCTTCAGGTGAAAGAACATAACTGTCGGGACGACAGTGGTGAGTCTATGGGCAGTGTTAAATCTATGGGCAGTGCTGAGTCTATTGGGCAGTATTGAGTCTATGGGCAGTGTTAAGTCTATGGGCAGTGTTGAGTCTATAGTGCAGTGTTGAGTCTATGGGCAGTGCTGAGTCTATTGGCAGTGTTGAGTCTATGGGCAGTGTTGAGTCTATGGGCAGTATTGAGTCTATGGGCAGTGTTGAATCTATGGGCAATGCTGAATCTAAGGGCAGTGTTAAGTCTATGGGCAGTGTTGAGTCTATGGGCAGTGTTAAGTCTATGGGCAGTGTTGAGTCTATGGTGCAGTGTTGAGTCTATGGGCAGTGTTGAGTCTATGGGCAGTATTGAGTCTATGGGCAGTGTTAAGTCTATGTGCAGTGTTGAGTCTATAGTGCAGTGTTGAGTCTATGGGCAGTGCTGAGTCTATTGGCAGTGTTGAGTCTATGGGCAGTGTTGAGTCTATGGGCAGTATTGAGTCTATGGGCAGTGTTGAATCTATGGGCAATGCTGAATCTAAGGGCAGTGTTGAGTCTATGGGCAGTGTTGAGTCTATGGACAGTGTTGAGTCTATGGGCAGTGTTAAGTCTATGGGCAGTGTAGCGTCTATGGTGCAGTGTTGAGTCTATGGGCAGTGCTGAATCTATGGGCAGTGTTGAGTCTATGTGCAGTGTTGAGTCTATGGGCAGTGTTAAGTCTATGGGCAGTGTTGAGTCTATGGGCAGTCTTGAGCCTATGGGCACTGTTGAGTCTATGGGCAGTGCTGCTTCATGATTGCAGTGGAGGGGTCCAAGGAGGGAGATGGACCAGAAAGGAGATTGGGCACAGGGTGAAGAAGGGACAGAGAGAGAGAGAGAGACAGATACAGGATTGGGGACGAAGAGGACGAGAGGGTACTTGGAGGGAGATGAGAGAAGCGAGATGAGGTGGGGCAAGTCCATGAAGAGATTTAAAGACTATAAGATGATGTTGTTGATACTGCGTTGGCAGCGGTGCATGATTCACAAATTGCTCGTCGCATTCGTCAATAGCACCGTGGCCTTAAGAGAAAGAGAAGTATTAAAGGTGACGCTTTGGGCAATAGCCCTGTGGTATGATGGAGGGCCATTGCCTGAAACGTCAACTGTTATATATATTTTTATTTTAAGGTGAAAGTGTTATTCATAAAAGTGTTGAGTTTTGTTGCTGTTATTCTCGTAAAGGCAGTCGGACAAAAGACATGCTTCGTCAAAGTTATAGCGGCATTAAGCACCGCTATACAGCAATCTACTACGGAAATAATATACAGTATTACACGTGCATACGACTTAACTCCATGCACTGTCGTAAAATAATTATGAATATTTCATACATTATCACAAAGCTTAATCAATACATCGTAAATACACACGCTATGGACATCTTAGCAATGTATTCCATTGTATGCGGTGCATGTACATCAATCGGTAAACACGTGAGATGACCGTTAGCTGTTCTTGCAACAACAACAAAACGAAAACCAAAATTGTGCTGACATGTCCACTACGAACGGAGCTTTGTTCCAAATAACGCTCATGATTGACGGGGTCATTTCCCCCGAGAATAATAACATAAGGAAGCATCCAACATGTCGCAGATTAATGAACGTACACATGCCGTGGTGGCATTGTTAGCCCGCGCGAACTGCATCGGTTTCATTGTCAAGTGAAAAACCTTGCAGGCTCCGTTTTCCCCTAGAGAACGCCATGCACTTCCACAGGATTTGTTTTTTACCATTTGCACTTGGGCACGTTTATCTGGGTGGTTTCTCCCCCCACCACCACCGCCAATTGTATCCCAATTGCGCAATCGGTTCAATCTTGATTTGAAGTTTTCATGACGGCAGGAATCCATACTCTTTGGTTCTTTCGGTAAAGTCACGTAGGTATAAAATAAAATAAATTACGACGTTTCGATCGCAACACAAGCGGTCGTCCTCAGGCAGAAAAAAATTATAATCCAGCAGTGGAATCCAGCAGTTCTACTGCTGGATTCCTACTGCAGGACTACTGCTGGATTCCACAACAGTTCCACTGCTGTGGAATCATATACGTGTTGACTTCTACTGTTAGATTATATTGGAACTGCTGGATTACACAGCAGTTCTACTGCTGTGGAAGCCAGCAGTTCTACTGCTGTGGAATCATAAACGTGTTGAGTTCTACTGTTGGATTATATTGGAACTGCTGAATTACACTAGCGGTCGTCCTCAGTTCTACTGCTGGATTGTATTTTTTCTGCCTTTTGGACGACCGCTTGTGTTGCGATCGAAACGTCGTGATTTATTTTATTTTATACCTACTACGTGACTTTACCGAAAGAAGCAAAGAGTATGCGCTATCGGTGTCACGCCACGAGTCGAGGGTATCTCCTATCGGATCACTCGGAGGAGCAGTGCTCCTCATCGAGTTGGAGAATGGCCCACGGCGATGGATATCATAGAGGTACCTCCGAGGTCCCGTATAGCAGGGGTGGGGAACCTTTTTTCTGCCAAGGGCCATTTGGATATTTATAACGTCATTCGCGGGCCATACAAAATGATCAACTTAAAAATGAGCCCGTTATATTTGGTCAAACATTGAATTAACTCGCCCCTAATATGATGGCTGGAACTGCTTCTCTTTGGGTGAGGCGTGGTGATGATGTTAGCTGGTATTGACGATGTTGCTACTCGCAACTGCTTTTCCAAGTTCCCTCCTAGATTGATTGAATTTCGAGTCCCGCCTGCGGTTGCCTTGGCAGGGTCACACCAAATGATTTCGCGGGCCTTATACGGCCCGCGGGCCGGACGTTCTCTACCCCTGCCACTGGGACGTGGTGCATTGATGCTCCGTGTTTTTTGCGCCACGTAACTTCGAAGCCTACGCACAACTCAAGCAGCTGCATAGATTCAACCGCAGGACCTCAGCGTTGCCAGTTCAGCGTCTTGACCTATACATTATTAAAACTATACGTAAAATATTTTACCAGGTAAGACCCACTGAGCTATATAGCTCATTATCAGAAGCGATCTGGCCACAAATGATAGCTCAACGAAGTGGCTTATCACGTGGAAATGTATAGCAGCCAATACTTTTAAACATATGTTTCTAAATGTGGATGGAAAAACCGGAGGACCCGGAGAAAAATGTATGCAACCACGGGGTTGAGAGACACGCAAACTCCAATTATACAGGCGTCAGAGTCGGAATCGAACCCACGACCTCCTGTATACCGGGCGAGGCAGTTAACATCTCCTAGCCACCGTGGCGGCGCAGGCAGGCAGGTATAATTCAATAATAGTAATACGAACAACGTTCATTTCAACTTGTAGTACGCCGGGCGGTATTAGCTCACTCTCAAAGAGAGAATGACTCGGAGGCGCGAGGCAGAACGACAAAAGGGAAAGAAGCAGCAGCAGCAGCCACGCAGTGAGCCGCTTGTCAAGTCGCATCACCCCAGCGGAGGTCCGTTATCTTGATCTCAGCGGGGAATAGTCCCCTTTGGCCCACCGCCAGTGCCGGATGAAGCTAGTGCGGGGCTTGTAGCATATGTTATGAAGGGGCACCTAAATATAAATATACACGTAAATATTAAAACACACGCATTTTTTTTACTCGCATAGTAAAGTAATTGTATTTTTAAATTTGCTGTACAGCCAGATAATGCGACAAATCGTTAACCTTAAACACCGCAGTCGTTCATAAAAGTTGAAGGATGTATAGTAACTATAGTAATAAGAGCAAGTGCAGAATCACTGAGCCGGAATTGATAGCTTGAAATCATTCAGCGCGGGGCCCTTGAAAGTGCGGGGCCCGTAGCTACTACACATGTAGCTACTACACGTGTCGCTAGTTTTGCTACTCGGATAATCCGGCACTGCTCAGCGTACAGCACGCACATTAACGCGCGTTCACGGGCGGGGGATGAACCCGGGAAAACCTGGAGAATGTCAATGCGTGCGAAGGGGCCGGACCTCTCTCCGATACGGAGGGCGCACCGAGTGAAACACGGAAACTTTTGTACGATGATGATGATGGTAATAATAATGCGAACGATCCGCAAGCCCTTTGTGACGGGAGCCGTCAGTCCGCCCCCCTTATCTGTCCCTCCAGCCAAACGAACAGTGGATGTTAATGCGGTGAGCCAAACAGATATATTAAAAGTAGGAACGTTCGACAATTTCCCAGAAATAGCTCACGGGAAATTCTGTAGCTTGACCGGTGCCAAGGGGGCGTGGACCCACACACCCATCTCCCTTCCCCATTTATATATGCTGGGGACCGGACTTTCCCTCTCAGATTTGTGTAGGCACATTTGCACAAAAAGGCCTTCGTCATTTCGTCCAAAGCTTTCTGGCAGAAACGTCATCGGCATTCCCGTACACAATGTTGTTCAGATTTATTGTAGTCGTACTTTTTGCCCGCGTTTGCCAAGGTAAGTCAATCGTACGGTTTATGCACGTTCATGTTAAGACCGTTCATTGTTAAAGCGTTGACGTTGTGTATTTTCTTTTTTTGTTTTTTTTTTACAGAGCCCGCACGTTTAAAAGTGCGCGTGTTCGATTTGTTTTAATCTTACCTTTTGTACTGTTGGCTCTTGAAGATGTTCCGATGCACTTAATTTCAAGAGGTCTGTAAACCTTTCTAAACGCAGTCTGAATAATTTACACTTGAGGAATGTTTAAAGCAGTGTTTTTTTGTTGTTCAATGTTACTGAAGGAGTTGAATTTAGAGCGATATAGTATATATGTAACCCAGTAGAGTTAAACGAATGTAATCCAACAGTGAGTGTTTGTTTTTACTGAAGGAATTTAATGTAGTTATATATATGTAAACCAGTAGAGTTAAACGAATGTGCCTGCTTATACCAATTTAACTTTAGGTACAATATATTTTACATCATATCCAGATAAGGAAAGCATTACAATACTAAATGGCAATGCAAACATTTTCTATGGATTTCACGAACTGTTTGCAATTAAGCGAGAAATCGAATACAAATCCTAATCATTGCATAGTGTCTCGCAGTCAGGGAAATGTGTTGAAATTCAAGACACCAACTTCCATTTACGTGAGGCCAATAATCTAACAAGAATGATCAAATGGAAGGTACCATGTATCGTGCACATGATCAGGTGATCTGGAATGCATCCGATCTTGTCAGCTGTCGTAAGCTGAGCAGAATGTTGAGCCTGCACTGCACTTGGATGGGTAACCGCAGCCCCAATGCTGCAGCAGATATCATAGGCTGCTGTGGGGCTACGTGTTGGGCAACAGGTGACAGTGCATCGAAATCCATTGTTGTGCTGCGCTTCTATGGTCCATGCCTTCAATCAGTGCGGTGAAGTATGGTCAAATAACCCCCCACGACCTCGTCCAGTAGTGGAAATACAGTAAATGTAACCTACACTTTTACGTTAATTTTTTTAAAACTATTTTTATTTTTTATTTTACCGGGTAAGCTCCAGTGAACTACATATAGTTCTTTTTAGAAGCGACCTGGCCACAAATCATAGCTCGGCGAAGTGGCTTATCACGTGGACATTTACAGCGGGCCAAATATGCATAAACGTTACCTCTTTAAAGATGTCTGCCCTACGTATAAGAAAAGTTGGCGAAACTATCCTCTAGAGGGGCTCTCGAGAGCTTCCTCCGATTGGCATGGTTGGATATGTACGGTGCGAAAGAAGTTCAACATACATACACAACCTCCTCGACATGAACCCCTTGCCCCAGCGATGGCGTAACCAATTTCAGAGCGACACTTTCACCGTTTATATAGCTATCAGCATTTATGCAGGGCAGCAGGGTGCCTCGAAGCAAGAAGGCGCCTGGGTTTTACTCCCGACTCGGGCGCCTTACTGTGTTGAATTTGCCACTTGTTCTGCACGAGTTTCCCCCGGGTTCTCTGCTTTCCTCCCAAAGCTAAAATATATATTTTATTATATTGTTCAAACATCCCAATGCAAAAAAAATACCTTCAAATTACTCAGTTGAGATTAGAAACAGGCGCAACATCGCTCCGGACTGTGAAAAGTTGACAGGACCATTCTAAAATTAATGCACGAGTTTCCCCCGGGTTCTCTGCTTTCCTCCCAAAGCTAAAATATATATTTTATTATATTGTTCAAACATCCCAATGCAAAAAAAATACCTTCAAATTACTCAGTTGAGATTAGAAACAGGCGCAACATCGCTCCGGACTGTGAAAAGTTGACAGGACCATTCTAAAATTAAGTATTGAGACTCAAGTGAGGCTTTCCTGATTTAAAAAAGTAATAATAACAATGTACTATACACAGTGTGCAAAGTACTTTGTACTTCATTAACTGTGACACCAAGATTTAGTTTCGTAGTTTTTGGCCTTGTTTGTTAAAATGGTGAAGGTTTTTCGTTTTAATATTTGCAATTTTGTGCTGAGGTACGTGTTCACACAGGAAATGAGTGTGTTGAATAAGACACGAATATTAAATAACAGTTTTGGAGATCATAATTGAATGAGCCGCAATGTGTCATTTTATAGTATTCATGGATTATCTAAATACATCATGGTTTATCGATTATGCTTCTTAAATTGTATGATTGTAAACACAACTAAACACCAGAACCGTTTGATAATGACATAACATTATTCCTACAAGGTCAATCTAAATATGTATTTATACTGGAGGAATCCGATGAGCTATAAAGCTCTTTTTCACAGATGTCCAGTCGAGGCGGGTCAGAACGTTACAATAACAAACAATATAAAAACACAATAGGAGTGCAAAGTATAGAAAAAGTAAAAAAAATAACTTTATAAAAGAAAATACTTAAAAAAAATCTTACCAGGTAAGGCCCACTAAGCTACATAGCGTCTTTTCAGAAGCTACCTGGCCACAAATTATAGCTTAACGAAGTGGCTTATCATCATGTGGAAATTTATAGCAATCAAATACTCTAAACGCATGTTTCCAAATGTGAAGGGGTTAATCGGCAGGACTTGGAGAAAAATTCATGGGACCGCAGGGAGAGCATACAAACTCCGCATATACAGCAGGCGTCAGGGTTGGGATCGAACCCCTGACCTCCTGCATACCAGGCGAGGAATATAACATCACACCACCGTGGCGCCTCTGAAGTAAATAAAGTATATACGTTCAAATCGCATTAGGTGGCCACGGGATGTTGATTGTCATTTCCTCACAATGCTAAGTGAGTTTTTTTCCCTCTGGTTTCCGAACATCCCAAATGCAGGATGTTCCTAAAATATATATATATTCTTGAGAATCAGTGAGGCTATTTTTATGGATATATAACTTTCATTATACTAATAGCTCATTTGAGTGAAAATAACAAATAAATTAATTAAATCTTGTCACATTCAAAGCGAAAACTCGCACCAACTAACAAAGAGCCGTACATCTGAATGTATTAAAAACAACTTTGAGTTGTCGCAGGTCTGTTGAACATCACCAGAACCGACCCCCACAGCGCCCACGTCAAGGGAATGAGTCACAGCACTGTAGGAATAATGTTGTGTTCATCTTTATCTTGAGACATTTACGGCGCATGCAACCCAAAGTGAGCACAGCAACAAAACAAAAATCCGTTCATATTTTGAATGCGTTTATAGAGAAAATAAAATGTTGTGTAAAGCAAATCAATGGTTGGAATGCTCAAGAGCTATCGTCCCTCCCAGTTTAGTTTATATTTATTTGGCAGCGGGCTGAACAGTTGCCTACCTTTCTCGGGGCCTTTCTTGGGGCAGGCACGGCGAAGTGTCTGGCAGTGCCTGCCCTTACTGAAGGCAAGATGGATAACGGACTTCTCCCAAACTCCATCGCCTCTGCTGCACAATCCTGCTCTGATTACTGTAGCCAATTCTGCTTACTGCGTTAGTAAAATTGCAATGGCTTTGTGCAGAGTGTCGTGACGGAGACGTTTCATTTTGAGACTAACGCGAGTTAAATTTATTTCTCAGCCAAACCGTACAGATTGATATACGCAGCACCATGCATGGTCATTAACGAAGAATACGGAACCAAAACTGAAAAGTGCGCAAAGGAAGCACGGAGAGTTGCGTGCTTGAAATAACATTTTGAGGCAATGGCTTTGGGTTGTGGCCTTCTCTTGAAATCTCAACAATCTGGTTAAAACAACATACAACTTGAGACCCATACAAATTGGAGTCCATGAGTTTTCTCGCGAACATTTGAACAGAGCCTGCGTTACAAGCATGGATTTATTTAACCGTGTCAACTCCATAATAGATTATCCGCCGGCTTCGGCGGGGGGGGGGGGGGGGGGTGCCGAATTTTTAAAAACGCCAGATAATCACGAACCATCATTATTTAAAATAGTTAATTTTTGCAGATTCTTGAATGACATTGTGTTTTTTTTGTGTTTTAAATTTGCTGATCGCCTGACTGGTTAACAGGCCTTGCAGCGGTTTTGCCGGTTTCGCCAGATGGGACCTGGACCGCCGGAGCATGTTGCAAGCAGCCGGATAATCGCGCGGTGTCGGATAATCGATTATAAAACTGTAATGCGATCAACAGGCGAAGACGTTTGACGCAGTCACGAAACAAAAATTCTCCCCGCAGGATCGGAAAAATTGAAGGTGACGGTTTCTCCGCGCGATGCGCTCGAGGGAAAGCCGGTGAAGATCCAATGTGAGATGCCCTCAAAGAGACCGGCCAGATTCCAGTGGCTCCAGCTGCCCCCAGCCACCGCCTCTCACAGACTGGTGAGTGCAAGGCCATCGTGCCCGCTGCCATGCGCCGTCACCGTCCGTGATCACGATCGGTGGTTGCCTCCGACCTCTTCTCGTGACCAACGGAGGCATTTCGCGACGCGTGTGTCACGCCAAAGAAGGGGTCGCTTGCGTCGATCTCGCTCACGTCCCTTGGGTACACAAGGGACGGAGTTACTCTGCAGAAGTCGCCGGCTTTCGATTTCATCTCTCCGGCACGGCAGCTGCACCAAGGGTGTAACGTTTCTTAAATGGGGCGCGCCGCACTCGATCAGCAGGCCACAACGTTTGCCCAATGCGGAGGAGTAGGGCAACATACCATCTGCGGCAGCTCTCAAGAGCTTCCTCTCCTCGTGAACGCCCTTCCATCAGCGGTGGCGTGAGCAAGTAATTGCAGGGTTGCACCTTTACGATTGAGATAAGACATAAATGAATGGTCTACGTGAAACATCGTCATTGGCAGTATACCAAAAGCGCGAACTAACAATTGTAACAATGCTCGTCATTTTGTTTTCATCGCCTAATTGAAATAAACGACCTCAAATGAAATGGCCAAATAAGTGTACCCGCTGCATTACGATCGAAAGTGAAACGCAACATCAAGACGGTTAATCATTCCAGAACAATCGCGTACCCCTGCCAACTCCAGAAGTGAAACTAAAAAATAAGAGGCAGCCGGAGGAAAAAATGTTTGACCTCTCCAGCCTGTCCTTATTTAAACTCACCCTTACTCCATGTAATGTAGAAGTTGAGTTTAAAGTGAATTTGTTTAACCAGGTGAAATAACAAATGGTCATGGATAGCAAATACTGAAGGGTAAATGTATGAAACAAACCGAAAATCATGAGAAACGGAAATGTGGCTCAAGCATAAATCAATATTAAAGGTTTTAACATTTTCTATAATGTAAGTTGACCGGGTCAAATTACTGTTAAACTTATTCTTATTTCACTTTTTGTTCAACTTTCACTTTTGAGGACTTTATTAATAAGCTCTTCTGTGCAAAAAACCCAGCACAATATTATGCTGCGTGAGCGCAAGAGGTTTTTTTTATTACCGTCAAATATTAATCAAGGGACATGTTTGCTGTGGTCCTACAAATGCAGCGTTACAGTACAGTACTATAATTGTCATAGATGATTTGGTGATATTATAGTTACAGATGCCAAAGCGTTATTATTCGCTTGTATCACAATTCTTAATTTAATTGCATTTTCGAGAGGAGTCATTGAAATTGTTATAATCAGCTTTCTATTGATCTTAGATTGTACCTATACTTGTGAGTGTAGTTTTAAATTTGCGTACAGCGCTTTGAGATACTCAAATATGAAAGGCGCTTTATAAAATAGTGGTTATTATTATTGTTGTTGCAACTGCACTGGGGCCTATGGATTGGAGAGGATCCAGGCTCTGGCCTACGAACAAATAGGAAACTCACAGCTGTCAACCCATACGGTTTACCCCATATTGAAACAGCCCTGTTTGTGTTTCTCCCTTGTGATGGGACTTTGTAGGATGAACATTGATATTTATAAGGGGCACGGGGTGACCCATATGGTCTGTAATAAGGTAGGGCACTGATAAGGGGTTGACAGGGATGGAAACCAGACAGGGGGTGGTGCGCATAGCGTTCCTCGTACCGGCGATTCATGCCAACCACGCTGTGCCACTGCGCCTCAGAAGGTTGGAATGGGCCCCATGTTAGGGCCCCATACTTGCGAAAGTTGGGGCTCAAGATGTAACCCGAGTCGAATTAAAAGGTAAAAGTGTTTTAACAAGCTTTGCATAATGGGGAAAAAATACATATTTGAGAATGAAATTAAATACACCGGCTGGAGGAGGATTAGGAACCACACAATGAAATAGTGGCAACCAATGGATCACGATTAAGTGATTATATTTATATGCAGGATGTGAAGTTTAACTTCGTGGTGCCATGGTGGCTGAGGAATGGAAAAGGTCTTCATCCAATGATGATGCCTTGCAGGCACGTGGTAGCCCAGGATATATACAGTACATGGTTACATCTGCGATGATGCCTCGTCAAATATTCTTCTAAAGAGAAACTTCCAAGTTCCGCCTTTTCCTGCCATGGAATTCCAGCATCCCTCAACTCGTTGCCCGTTGTCACAAGCCTGGGGCTTCGTTTGCATTCGGCAATTATAAATCCCGCTGCTTGTCACGGGTCACCGTTCCCACGAACTTAAACCCACATCGACTCGTCATGTCGAGACTTGTCTGGGTGCACGAGGCCGACGCCAAAGGCCACGCGTTCTCTGTCTGCGTCTCGCTTCGCGCTGAGTTTCACTCCCGTTGTACTCTTTTCGCGAGTTCTTATGATCCTTGCTCACCACAGGAAGTGTGGTAATTCTGTGCTGCTGCTGCTGCTGCTCTTCTTCTTTGGTTCTTTCGGTAAAGTCGCGTAGATAGAAAAAAAGATAATAAAAATAAAGTGAATAAAAATACAAAATAAAAAAATAAAACCACTAATGTAGACTGTAGCCTGGTTCTTAATCTGAGTGAGTGTACTGGCAGTCTATAATGTAGACTGTAGCTTGGTTATTAAGTTTGGTGAGTGGACTGGCAGTCTATAATGTAGACTGTAGCCTGGTTATTAACCTGAGTGTACTGACAGTCTACAATGTAGACTGTAGCCTGGTGCTGCTCTTGTTCGTTGCTTTCCACTTGGCGTTTCGGGCGTGGCTGTGCTCAGTCAGTAGCCGTGATATTAAATAAAAAGTATATCATGCGTACAATAACACAAGACTATTACTTCAGCCTTTAAATTGTTTTTTGGTACTTAATTTGACCTCTCGATTATTTGAAAGTGGTTGATGTGACACGACAAAACCTTGAACGCGATCCTCTTTCACCGCGCGTTTCTGTTGAGAGAGAGAAACTAAAAAGTTTGAACGCGTCTCATCCCAACCGGCAGCTGTCGATGGACAGTTCCACCATCACCATCTCGTCACTGCGTCGCAGCGATGGTGCCGACTACAAGTGCATGGCCACCACCGATGATGGGATAATCCACACGGGCTCAACGAAGTTGGACGTCTATTGTAAGAGTACACCTCCAAGCCGCATTCAAATCAACTAATTTTGCACATGCATCTTGACTTAAAGCTTTCGTGACTGCAGGAATTCATATTCTTGAGTCTTTCGGTAAAGTCACGTAGATAGATTCAAAGAAAATGTTTTTTTGTTATTTTCTTTGAACCTATCTACGTGACTTTACCGAAAGACCCAACAATATAATTTGCACATCTTAAGCGGGGTTTAAAGTAATCTTATTTTATTTCGCTCAAGCTAAAGCCCACTGAGCCATTGGAGTTTTTTTAGAGGCGACCTTGGCTGCACGTGACAGCTGATGGAAGTGGCTCATCATCGCATGCGGGAATTTATCGTAGCAGCCGCATAATCTATACAAATGTTTTTTCAATGTGGAGGGGGAATGGGAGTGAAAAACGGTAGGTCGGACCCGGATAAAAAAAAAAATCGACGCAATCACCATGGGGAATACACGCAAACTCCATATATACATTCATTAGGGTCGCGATTGAACCAACGACCTTCTGCATGCCAGGCGAGGGAGGATAACATCTTGCCATGGTGGCGCCCCATTCGTTATTTTGCGCCAGTTCGTATGGCACACGGTTAAATGATGGAGGCACCGCATTGCACAGAAGGGCATTGTCTACAGTGGTTTCACAGTGGGCGGTAATGATGTTATGTTGCTTTTACACGACTAGGTAATTTGCGGGTTATTTTATTTTGTAAATGAGGTTAAGTCTCAAAAGGTCAGACATAATTCATCCTTATCATAGGTACCTGGTTTCTTATCGCCAGAATGAGCCTGCACTTAACTCTGTAACAAAAAAGACAAGTCCTATGGCTCACACATACATTTACTCCTAATGTCAGGTGTGTGTGGTGGTAGCACTGCGCTACGAACCCGGCGACCCGAATTAAATTCCTGCTCACGACCAATAAACGGTGGCGAATATATGAACGTAGTCCTGGGCCCCGTCGAGGTCGACTCAGCCTTAAAAGAGTACCATGCGCGGTGTGCAAACATCAACACCGGCGAGACAAAGGCGGTCGGGCGTGGCGTTGGTCACCCACCCTCTCGCGTGCCGTGCCGGCCTTAATAGCTGCTCGCGAACAGCGCTCGCCCCCAACAGTCTGTTAAGGCTACCTGGGGGATCTTTGCCTTTGTGTGGTAGACCCTCCCCAGGCCATGACGTTGAGGCTGAGCCCCCACAGCGACCCGGTCGCCCGAAGCGATCGGAGCCCGGCGCACGTGGCCGTGGCAAAGGGGGCCTCGCTCACGCTCATCTGCGAAGGGGACTCCAACCCAAAGCTGATAATGGCGTGGAAGAGAGGGTCGGAAGAGATCGACCACTGGACCTCGGAGTACACCGTCGAGCAGCCGCAAGAGGCCGTGTACACGTGCGAGGCCGTGTACGAGATCGCCAACGTCAAGTACAACGTTTCCGTCAACGTCACCATTCAGGGTGGGCATCATTCCACGCGGATTTCTCTATTTGATGTTGTATACATCTAAACGTCGAGTCACAGAACGACACGAGACTTTTGTATCAGGGTCAAGCCAAGATATGTTACTAATAATATAACACCGTTCTGGTCGATCCCTCGGATATTGCATGGTCAGCACTCCACCTCAAAGTTCTGTACTTACAAAATCCCATCAATCCATCATCCCATCATCCCAACATCCCATCATCCCATCATCCCAACATCCCAACATCCCATCATCCCAACATCCCATCATCCCATCATCCCAACATCCCATCATCCCATCATCCCAACATCCCAACATCCCATCATCCCATCATCCCAACATCCCATCATCCCATCATCCCAACATCATATCATCCCATCATCCCAACATCACATCATCCCAACATCCCAACATCCCATCATCCCATCATCCCAATATCCCAACATCCCATCATCCCATCATCCCAACATCCCATCATCCCATCATCCCAACATCATATCATCCCATCATCCCAACATCACATCATCCCAACATCCCATCATCCCAACATCCCAACATCCCATCATCCCATCATCCCAACATCCCAACATCCCATCATCCCATCATCCCATCATCCCAACATCCCATCATCCCATCATCCCATCATCCCAACATCATATCATCCCAACATCACATCATCCCAACATCCCAACATCCCATCATCCCAACATCCCAACATCCCATCATCCCATCATCCCAACATCCCATCATCCCATCATCCCAACATCCCAACATCCCATCATCCCATCATCCCATCATCCCAACATCCCATCATCCCATCATCCCAACATCCCAACATCCCATCATCCCATCATCCGGCTCAGGGGTCGGCAACCTGCGGGCTCCGGAGCCGCGTGCGGCGGTGGGTTATTACGGACTGGCTCGTGACGTTATTTATTCACGACCACCGTCTCGTATTCACCACTTTGCATCGAGGCTCTTGAAATATTGAGGGTTTTTTTTTTATTACCGAATTTGAAAAAATAAATGGCTCTTAAATTTTGACTTAAAGCTTTCGTGACTGCAGGAATTCATATTCTATGGTTCTTTCGGTAAAGGCACGCAGATAGAAAAAAAAGTGAATACAAATATCACGATGTTTCGATCGCAGCACAAGCGGTCGTCATCAGGAACAGGGCTGCTATCTTCTGAGGGCAAGCTGTTTATAAGGTTTACATGAGCTGCCCCGCCCATCTCTAAACCTTTATATAAACAGCTTGCTCTCAGAGGCTAACCTCCCTGTTCCTGATGACGACTGCTTGTGTTGCGATCGAAACTTCGTGATATTTTTTATTAACTTTATCTTTACTGTTATATATTTTTCTATCGACGTGCCTTTACCAAAAGAACCACAGAATATAAATGGCTCTTCTTATTGTTTCGGTTCCTGACCCCTGATCCAGCTCTAAGTCTCCCCTGGTTCACTGGCATTTGGCACCGACTGTGATGCCTGTAATGACGTAGAAAGTCAAGGCCTTTTGTCAATGCACCGCTTGATATAAATCCACACACACATAGGCTGATATCAATCCACACACACATAGGCTGATATCAATCCACACACACACACATAGGCTGATATCAATCCACACACACACACACAGGCATGCGGCGGTCTTCGGGGATCAGGAGTACTATCTGACCATACCTGAACGGACACAGAACTCGAGTAACGATTTCTTTTTTTTTGCTGTTCACCTTTCACAGAACCGGTCTCAAAGCCACAAGTGAAGGTAGAGAGCACAGTGGTGCTGGACCGGGTTGGCGCTGTGACAATGACCTGCTCACACGACATGAACACACAGCCCGAGTACAGTTGGTTGCGGAACAATCGACCCATCTTCGCCCAGGAGGAGAGGTACACGTTCATCGGTGGAGGTGCCTCCCTGCGTGTGGAAAGCGTCCGCCATACAGACACGGGGGCTTACCGATGTGTGGTGTGGAACGACGTGAGCAAGGAGACCAGCGAGCCAGTGACGGTGACGATTCTGGGTAAATATGGACCGTCTTACTGGAACTTATTATTAATCGGAGTGGCCTTTATTATCCACACACAATCGGGTGCACTTCCTCGCGTGCCCTGCTACTAAGAAGCGTTCATTATCCGGCAGTCAAACTGACATTTGTAAGTCCCAAAAGCTGTAATTTTTGTCGAATGAAGTTAAAACACAAATTCAATATCGTGGAATTGTTTTTGTTAATGCAGCCATTGGCGACTGGCTTCGGTTAATCAGCCAGCTACACTTAAGAACTCAGTTGAATTACAGGTGGCTGCAATGCAGATTCAAACCCAGGATCTCAGCAAATATTGTGTGTGCACAGCGATCAGTGAGCCACTTTAGGTCGATGGTAATCATGGCGAAACACTGTCCCTACGTATGTTTTAGTCATCCCAGCGAAACGGTGCGGTCGTTTTTTTAGTACCGAGATTGCAATCACCATAATCAGCCAACGATGAATCCACTGGTGGATGAAAGCCACATAAAGCTGTCCCCACGTACCCTGGGTGCATGTGACGGAACAATTCAGCAAGGCCCTGTGTGCAATGCCCATGGCACCGTCCCTTTGTGGAGCTGAGTTCACCACTCTGTCTCCGCGTGGTGTGGTTAGACGTCTTCTTGGGCGACTCCATTCCCTCGGCTGCCACTCTGTTGTTAGTCTCGACCATTGGCCATCATTAATCCTAGCAACATTCCCTCTTTATTTTTTTTACTTTACCAGGTAAGGTCCACTGAGCTATGTGTCACTTTTTTGGAAGTGACCTTGTTACAAATGATAGCCCAGTGAAGTGGCTTATCACGTGGACATATATAGCAGCTGAAATACTCTAAACACATCATGATAAATGTGGAGTGGAAAACCGCGGAGGACCCGGAGAAAAATCTACGTGACCTCGGGGAAAGCATACAAATACACAAGCATCAGGGTCTGGATCGAATCCATACAAAAAATGAATATTACAGTTATGTATTGGTATATTATGGCTCTTATTGCTTTTCTCTTATTATTCGGAACAATACATTGCAATCTTCTTTGGTTCTTTCGGTAAAGTCACGTAGAATGAGAATAAAATAATAAATTGATAAAATAAAATAACACAATAATATTCTCACGACGTTTCGGCCACAACACAAGCGGCCTTCATCAGGTGAAGGGAGCGAGACTGTCTGGTAGGACAGCGCTGGAGTGAGAGAGCCACGTTCAGATCACGGCTTTTAAGCTGTGTGAGAGGAACAAAGAGCCTTAGAGCCGCGACTCTAAGGCTCTTTGTTCCTCTCACACAGCTTAAAAGCCGTGATCTGAACGTGGCTCTCTCACTCCAGCGCTGTCCTACCAGACAGTCTCGCTCCCTTCACCTGATGAAGGCCGCTTGTGTTGTGGCCGAAACGTCGTGAGAATATTATTGTGTTATTTTATTTTATCAATTTATTATTTTATTCTCATTCTACGTGACTTTACCGAAAGAACCAAAGAAGATGAATCATTGCAGTCACGAAAGCTTTAAATCGAAATACATTGCAATGTTTGTTATTTGGAACCCTATGTTTACCTGTCAATAACAGACATTGTCACTCTATTCAGCGAGACATTCGTTATCAAATATAGTCAGCCTATGTAACGGTTTGTGAATAAGAAGTGCGGTCTTTATATGATGGGAGATGCTGAACATTGTTGCCGTGTTGTCGTGAAACAGAATCCGTCACAAAGCCACGACTTGAGATGGACAGAAGCGAGGCACTAGAGGGAACTCACTCTGTGACAATGACCTGCTCACACGACATGAGCGTACAGCCTGAGTACAGTTGGCTGCGGGACAATCGACCCATCTCTGCTCTGGAGGAGAGACACAAATTCCTCGATGGAAATGCCTCCCTGCGTGTGGAAAACGTCAAAAAGGAAGATGCAGGGCTGTACCGATGTGTGGTAAAAAACAGCTTGAGCCAGGCAACCAGTGATCCAGTGAGGATGACAGTTCTAGGTAAATATGTTGGAATTTATCTTGTTTATCTCTCTTCTCAATTGTCACCCAGTTGCGCAAGTCCTGGATTGTTTTTCCAATAAAAATCCAACACAAGAAAGCAAGTATAAATGTCAAGAGGTGGCCAGGTGGTTCAGGCCTCAGGGCACTGAGCTGACGTTGCTGAGATCCTGGGTTTGAATCTGGACTTCAGCCACATGCGATCAAACCTGGTTTTCAAGTGTAGCTGGGTCATGGCCTCAACCCAGTCACCAATGACTGTATAAAAACACATCACTTTGAATTTGGGTTTTCACTTCATTGGGATAAACTCCTGCTCTATGAATGGACACTACACATTCGACTGCCATGCAATAAACACGGCTGAGTAGCAGGACATGTAGGAAAGTGCATCCTCTTGAGTGGGAACAATGAACGTCACTTGCAGGGATCTCAGTGTCAGAAGTCCGCAACATCTTCTAGCGCACGGAGTTGCACTCCTCTGTGAGCGTTCCAAATGGACACCTTTTTCTCAAGACGCGATGCTCCAAGAACCTGGTTTATTCACAGGTGTCTGAAATATTAATTATGCCCAGGATCTCAGCAGTGTCATCTCAGTGGCCTGAGCCACCAGGCCGCTTCTTGAATTAATTTATTATAAGTGGAGTCGTGCAACTCTGTTAGGTCTTGCATTTTTGTTATGAAAACACATTTCACTTAACTGCATAATTAGCTTCGATTTGAGAGCAACGTTTCAATTTCCTTTTGAGAGGTTGGTCGACCGTGTTACAAACCATTGTTGCTGTGTTGTCGTGAAACAGAAGCCGTCACAAAACCGCGAGTTGAGATGGACAGAAGCGAGGCACTAGAGGGAACTCACTCTGTGACCATGGCCTGCTCACACGACATGAGCACACAGCCTGAGTACAGTTGGCTGCGGGACAATCGACCCATCTCTGCTGCGGAGGAGAGACACAAATTCCTCGATGGAAATGCCTCCCTGCGAGTGGAAAACGTCAAAAAGGAAGATGCAGGGCTGTACCAATGTGTGGTAAAAAACAGCTTGAGCCAGGCAACCAGTGATCCAGTGAGGATGACAGTTCTAGGTAAATATTTCAATTTCTTTCGTGTTTTTTTTCCCAATATGCATCCAGTTGCGCCAATCCTGGATTTTTATTTCCAATATAAATTTAACACAAGACAGCATTGCAACACTTCACGTTATAAAGTATAAATATCAAAAGGTGGCCAGGTGGTTCAGGCCTCATGACACTGAGCTGACGCTGCTGAGATCCTGGGTTTAAATCTGGACTTGAGTCACCTGCGATTAAACCAGGTTTTCCAGTGTAGCTGCTTTATGGTCTCAACCCAGTCACCAGTGACTACATAAAAACTCAATCACTTAGAATTTTCACTTAATTGGAAAAAAAACCTGCTCTGAGAATTAAACATTACAATTGTGACTGCCATGCAACGAACACGACTGAGTAGCAGGGCATGTAGGAAAGTGCATCCTCTTGAGTGGGAACAATGAACGTCACTTGCAAGAATCTCAGGGTCAGAAGTCTGCAACATCTTCCAGTGTACGAAGTTGCACTTCTCTGTGAGAGTTCCAAATGGACACTTTTTTTTCTCAAGACACGATGCTCCAAGAACTTGGTTTATTCGCGGGTTTCTGAAATAAAAACTCTGCCCAGGATCTCAGCAGTGTCATCTCAGTGGCTTGAGCCACCAGGCCACTTCTTGAATTTATTTATTAGAACGTGAAGTCGTGCTACTCTGTTTTGCATTACATTTTTGTGACAAAAAACATTTCACTTGCATTATTATCTTCGATTTGTGAGCAACGTTTCAATTTCCTTTTGAAGGTTGGTCGACCGTGTTACAAACCATTGTTGCCGTGTTGTCGTGAAACAGAAGCCGCCACAAAGCCGCGAGTTGACATGGACAGAAGCGAGGCACTAGAGGGAACTCACTCTGTGACCATGGCCTGCTCACACGACATGAGCGTACAGCCTGAGTACAGTTGGTTGCGGGACAATCGACCCATCGCTGCTGCGGAGGAGAGACACAAATTGCTCGATGGAAATGCCTCCCTGCGCGTGGAAAACGTCAAAAAGGAAGATGCAGGGCTGTACCAATGTGTGGTAAAAAACAGCTTGAGCCAGGCAACCAGTGATCCAGTGAGGATGACAGTTCTAGGTAAATATTTCAATTTCTTTACGGGTTTTTTTTCTTCCCAATTTGCATCCAGTTGCGCAAGTCCTGGATTTATTTTTCCAATACAAATTTAACACAAGACAGCATTGCAAGACTTCACATTATAAAGTATAAATGCAAGAGGTGGTTCAGGCCTCATGACACTGAGCTGACGCTGCTGAGATCCTGGGTTTGAATCTGGACTTGAGCCACCTGCGATTAAACCTGGTTTTCCAGTGTAGCTGCCTCATGGTCTCAACCCAGTCACCAATGACTACGTAAAAACACAATCACTTTTAGTTTTCACTTAATTGGAAAAAAAAACCTGCTCTGAGAATTAAACATTACAATTGTGACTGCCATGCAACAACACGACTGAGTAGCAGGACATGTAGGAAAGTGCATCCTCTTGAGTGGGAACAATGAACGTCACTTGCAGGGATCTCAGGGTCAGAAGTCCGCAACATCTTCTAGTGTACGAAGTTGCACTTCTCTTTGAGAGTTCCAAATGGACACTTTTTTTTCTTCTCAAGACACGATTCTCCAAGAACCTGGTTTATTCACGGGTTTCTGAAATATAAATTCTGCCCAGGATCCCAGCAGTGTCAACTCAGTGGCCTGAACCACCAGGCCACTTCTTGAATTAATTTACTAGAACGTGAAGTCGTGCTACTCTGTTTTGCATTACATTGTTGCGACAAAAAAGTCACTTTACTGCATAATTATCTTCGATTTGAGAGCAACGTTTCAATTTCCTTTTGAGAGGTTGGTCGACCGTGTTACAAACCATTGTTGCCGTGTTGTCGTGAAACAGAAGCCGCCACAAAGCCGCGAGTTGACATGGACAGAAGCGAGGCACTAGAGGGAACTCACTCTGTGACCATGGCCTGCTCACACGACATGAGCGTACAGCCTGAGTACAGTTGGTTGCGGGACAATCGACCCATCTCTGCTCTGGAGGAGAGACACAAATTCCTCGATGGAAATGCCTCCCTGCGTGTGGAAAACGTCAAAAAGGAAGATGCAGGGCTGTACCAATGTGTGGTAAAAAACAGCTTGAGCCAGGCAACCAGTGATCCAGTGAGGATGACAGTTCTAGGTAAATATTTCAATTTCTTTCGTGTTTTTTTTCCCAATATGCATCCAGTTGCGCCAGTTCTCGATTTTTTTCCAATACAAATTTAACACAAAACAGCATTGCAACACTTCACATTATAAAGTTTAAATGCAAGAGGTGGTTTAGGCGTCAGGGCACTGAGCTGACGCTGCTGAGATCCTGGGTTTGAATTTGGACTTCAGCCACCTGCGATTAAACCAGGTTTTCCAGTGTAGCTGCTTCATGGTCTCAACCCAGTCAACCAATGACTACATAAAACACCATCACTTTGAATTTTCACTTAATTGGAAAAAAACCTGATCTGAGAATTAAACATTACAATTGTGACTGCCATGCAACTAACACGACTGAGTCGCAGAACATGTGGGAAAGTGCATCCTCTTGAGTGGGAACATTGAAAGTCACTTGCAGGCATCTCAGGGTCAGAAGTCCACAACATCTTCTAGTGTACGAAGTTGCACTTCTCTGTGAGAGTTCCAAATGGACACTTTTTTTTTTCTCAAGACACGATTCTCCAAGAACCTGGTTTATTCACGGGTTTCTGAAATATAAATTCTGCCCAGGATCCCAGCAGTGTCAACTCAGTGGCCTGAACCACCAGGCCACTTCTTGAATTAATTTACAAGAACGTGAAGTCATGCTACTCTATTTTGCATTACATTTTTGTGACAAAAACATTTCACTTGCATAATTATCTTCGATTTGTGAGCACCGGTTCATTTTCCTTTTGAGAGGTTGGTCGACCGTCTTACAAACCATTGTTGCCGTGTTGTCGTGAAACAGAAGCCGCCACAAAGCCACGCGTTGAGATGGACAGAAGCGAGGCACTAGAGGGAACTCACTCTGTGACAATGACCTGCTCACACGACATGAGCACACAGCCTGAGTACAGTTGGTTGCGGGACAATCGACCCATCTCTGCTGCGGAGGAGAGACACAAATTCCTCGATGGAAATGCCTCCCTGCGCGTGGAAAACGTCAAAAAGGAAGATGCAGGGCTGTACCAATGTGTGGTAAAAAACAGCTTGAGCCAGGCAACCAGTGATCCAGTGAGGATGACAGTTCTAGGTAAATATTTAAATTTCTTTACGGGTTTTTTTTCTTCCCAATTTGCATCCAGTTGCGCAAGTCCTGGATTTATTTTTCCAGTACAAATTTAACACAAGACAGCATTGCAAGACTTCACATTATAAAGTATAAATGCAAGAGGTGGTTCAGGCCTCATGACACTGAGCTGACGCTGCTGAGATCCTGGGTTTGAATCTGGACTTGAGCCACCTGCGATTAAACCAGGTTTTCCAGTGTAGCTGCTTCATGGTCTCAACCCAGTCACCAATGAATACATAAAAAAATATCATTTTAATTTTCACTTAATTGGGGAAAAAAAAATCTGCTCTGAGAATTAAACATTACAATTGTGACTGCCATGCAACAACACGACTGAGTAGCAGGACATGTAGGAAGGTGCATCCTCTTGAGTGGGAACAATGAACGTCACTTGCAGGGATCTCAGGGTCAGAAGTCCGCAACATCTTGTAGCGCACGGAGTTGCACTCCTCTGTGAGCGTTCCAAATGGACACCTTTTTTCTCAAGACGCGATGCTCCAAGAACCTGGTTTATTCACAGGTGTCTGAAATATAAATTCCACCCAGGATCTCAGCAGTGTCATCTTTGTTGCCTGAGCCACCAGGCCACTTCTTGAACTAATTTTTTAGAATGTGGAGTTGTGCTACTCTGTTTTTCATTACATTTTTTTGACAAAAACATTTAACTTTACTGAGTAATTATCTTCGATTTGTGAGCAACGTTTTAATTTCCTTTTGAGAGGTTGGTCGACCGTGTTACAAACCATTGTTGTCGTGTTGTCGTGAAACAGAATCCGTCACAAAGCCGCGAGTTGAGATGGACAGAAGCGAGGCACTAGAGGGAACTCACTCTGTGACCATGACCTGCTCACACGATATGAGCGTACAGCCTGAGTACAGTTGGTTGCTGGACAATCGACCCATTTCTGCTGCGGAGGAGAGACACAAATTCCTCGATGGAAATGCCTCCCTGCGCGTGGAACACGTCAAAAAGGAAGATGCAGGGCTGTACCAATGTGTGGTAAAAAACAGCTTGAGCCAGGCAACCAGTGATCCAGTGAGGATGACAGTTCTAGGTAAATATTTAAATTTCTTTAGGTTTTTTTTTTCCCAATATGCATCCAGTTGCGCCAGTTCTCGATTTTTTTCCAATACAAATTTAACACAAAACAGCATTGCAACACTTCACATTATAAAGTATAAATGCAAGAGGTGGTTTAGGCCTCAGGGCACTGAGCTGACGCTGCTGAGATCCTGGGTTTGAATTTGGACTTCAGCCACCTGCGATTAAACCAGGTTTTCCAGTGTAGCTGCTTCATGGTCTCAACGCAGTCACCAATGACTACGTAAAACCACAATCACTTTTAGTTTTCACTTAATTGGAAAAAAAACCTGCTCTGAGAATTAAACATTATAATTGTGACTGCCATGCAACGAACACGACTGAGTAGCAGGACATGTAGGAAAGTGCATCCTCTTGAGTGGGAAAAATGAACGTCACTTGCAGGGATCTCAGGGTCAGAAGTCCGCAACATCTTCTAGTGTACGAAGTTGCACTTCTCTGTGAGAGTTCCAAATGGACACTTTTTTTTCTTCTCAAGACACGATTCTCCAAGAACCTGGTTTATTCACGGGTTTCTGAAATATAAATTCTGCCCAGGATCCCAGCAGTGTCAACTCAGTGGCCTGAACCACCAGGCCACTTCTTGAATTAATTTACTAGAACGTGAAGTCGTGCTACTCTGTTTTGCATTACATTGTTGCGACAAAAAAGTCACTTTACTGCATAATTATCTTAGATTTGAGAGCAACGTTTCAATTTCCTTTTGAGAGGTTGGTCGACCGTGTTACAAACCATTGTTGCCGTGTTGTCGTGAAACAGAAGCCGCCACAAAGCCGCGAGTTGACATGGACAGAAGCGAGGCACTAGAGGGAACTCACTCTGTGACCATGGCCTGCTCACACGACATGAGCACACAGCCTGAGTACAGTTGGCTGCGGGACAATCGACCCATCTCTGCTGCGGAGGAGAGACACAAATTCCTCGATGGAAATGCCTCCCTGCGCGTGGAAAACGTCAAGAAGGAAGATGCAGGGCTGTACCAATGTGTGGTAAAAAACAGCTTGAGCCAGGCAACCAGTGATCCAGTGAGGATGACAGTTCTAGGTAAATATTTCAATTTCTTTAGGGGTTTTTTTCCCAATATGCATCCAGTTGCGCCAATCCTAGATTTGTATTTCCAATATAAGTTTAACACAAGACGGCATTGCAACACTTCACGTTATAAAGTATAAATATCAAGAGGTGGCCAGGTGGTTCAGGCCTCATGACACTGAGCTGACGCTGCTGAGATCCTGGGTTTGAATCTGGACTTGAGTCACCTGCGATTAAACCAGGTTTTCCAGTGTAGCTGCTTCATGGTCTCAACGCAGTCACCAATGACTACTTAAAACCACAATCACTTTTAGTTTTCACTTAATTTGAAAAAACCCTGCTCTGAGAATTAAACATTATAATTGTGACTGCCATGCAACGAACACGACTGAGCAGCATGACATGTAGGAAAGTGCATCCTCTTGAGTGGGAACATTGAAAGTCACTTGCAGGCATCTCAGGGTTAGGATTCCGCAACATCTTCTAGTGTACGAAGTTGCACTTCTCTGTGAGCGTTCCAAATGGACACTTTTTTTGTTCTCAAAACACGATGCTCCAGAACCTGGTTTATTCACAGGTGTCTGAAATACAAATTCCACCCAGGATCCCAGCAGGGTCATCTCAGTGGCATGAGCCACCAGGCCACTTCTTGAATTTATTTATTAGAACGTGAAGTCGTGCTACTCTGTTTGCATTACTTTTTTGTGACAAAAACATTTCACTTGCATAATTATCTTCGATTCGTGAGCACCGGTTCATTTTCCTTTTGAGAGGTTGGTCGACCGTGTTACAAACCATTGTTGCTGTGTTGTCGTGAAACAGAATCCGTCACAAAGCCGCGAGTTGAGATGGACAGAAGCGAGGCACTAGAGGGAACTCACTCTGTGACAATGACCTGCTCACACGACATGAGCACACAGCCTGAGTACAGTTGGTTGCGGGACAATCGACCCATCTCTGCTGCGGAGGAGAGACACAAATTCCTCGATGGAAATGCCTCCCTGCGCGTGGAAAACGTCAAAAAGGAAGATGCAGGGCTGTACCAATGTGTGGTAAAAAACAGCTTGAGCCAGGCAACCAGTGATCCAGTGAGGATGACAGTTCTAGGTAAATATTTAAATTTCTTTAGGGGTTTTTTTTCTTCCCAATATGCATCCAGTTGCGCCAGTCCTGGATTTATTTTTCCAGTACAAATTTAACACAAGACAGCATTGCAAGACTTCACATTATAAAGTATAAATGCAAGAGGTGGTTCAGGCCTCATGACACTGAGCTGACGCTGCTGAGATCCTGGGTTTGAATCTGGACTTGAGCCACCTGCGATTAAACCAGGTTTTCCAGTGTAGCTGCTTCATGGTCTCAACCCAGTCAACCAATGACTACATAAAACACAATCACTTTGAATTTTCACTTAATTGGAAAAAAACCTGATCTGAGAATTAAACATTACAATTGTGACTGCCATGCAACTAACACGACTGAGTCGCAGAACATGTGGGAAAGTGCATCCTCTTGAGTGGGAACATTGAAAGTCACTTGCAGGCATCTCAGGGTTAGGATTCCACAACATCTTCTAGTGTACGAAGTTGCACTTCTCTTTGAGAGTTCCAAATGGACACTTTTTTTCTCAACACACGATGCTCCAGAACCTGGTTTATTCACGGGTGTCTGAAATACAAATTCCGCCCAGGATCCCAGCAGTGTCATCTCAGTGGCATGAGCCACCAGGCCACTTCTTTAACTAATTTTTTAGAACGTGAAGTCGTGCTACTCTGTTTTTCATTACATTTTTTTTGACAAAAACATTTCACTTTACTGCGTAATTATCTTCGATCTGTGAGAAACGTTTCAATTTCCTTTTGAGAGGTTGGTCGACCGTGTTACAAACCATGGTTGCCGTGTTGTCGTGAAACAGAATCCGTCACAAAGCCAAGAGTTGAGATGGACAGAAGCGAGGCACCAGAGGGAACTCACTCTGTGACAATGACCTGCTCACACGACATGAGCGTACAGCCTGAGTACAGTTGGTTGCGGGACAATCGACCCATCTCTGCTGCGGAGGAGAGACACAAATTGCTCGATGGAAATGCCTCCCTGCGCGTGGAAAACGTCAAAAAGGAAGATGCCGGGCTGTACCAATGTGTGGTAAAAAACAGTTTGAGTACAGATACCAGTGATCCAGTGAGGATGACAGTTCTAGGTAAATGTTGGATATAAAAATACATACAACATACCAGTGATGCATGCAACGATAAACACCAGCATTTCGGTTGTCACCATTCACAGTCACAACGTTCGTAGCGAAAGCATTTTTGTTTTTACCATCTCATTCGTAATTTTTCGTGCAATGTTCTACACTCTATTAGCGTACAGTCTAAACAAAATCTACAAGAATACTCTCGTTCCCATAAAATTTGGCGCATGTACATTTTAAAATACTGTTAATGATATATGCAGTGTGAACAGCCATGCGTCTTGACACACTCCCACACCGCTGGGCTGCGAGGTTGCCTGGAGAAATAGCATCGGTGCAGACGTTTTAATGTTTTTCTTTAATGTTATCTTTAATGTTATCGCGTCTTGTGCGAAAGTTTTCCCATTTCCTCAAAGTAAAATTGGCCCATAACGTCCTGTGACTTTCTTGGATGAATACATGCTTTCATCTATATACAGCATACACAATCAAATCGTGATTTGATTGTGTATCCCAATTTTCATTGGGATTTCCCAATTAAAATTCCGTATATGGCTGTGGTCGTGGTCACACATAATTTATTTTCTGAGCCTAAAATGAAAACGAGATCAGTAATAATCTACAATGCCCTAATTTAATTATTGTTATACCGAATAACAAATTTTCATTCAGCTATGGCATTGGTCCTTAAGTAGAAAAAAGTGGACACATGCCAGTAGGCTAACGTTCAATCCCCCCCCCCCCCATGTTTGTCAGACATGTTGCTTGCATTAACATTACGCTTATTTGGTACAATTTGTTGGTACTTTGTTGATTTTAGCAACCCTATAACTTTGCCATTATCGTACAGTGGCCCATTTATTTGATACATATATACATGTAATGCCCTTCCTTGATTGACAACGGTGTTGCTGTGCTGCTTGCAGGGCGTGTCTCAAAGCCACAAATCAACATGAACGAAAGAGAGGTCGAGGAAGGACACAGCCCTCTGATCATGACCTGCGCTAATAGCAGGGAAACGGGTCACCAGTACATCTGGTTCCACGATAAACGGATCATCTCTGCTCCGGACCAGAGGTTCTCGCTTTCGAATGGAGGCGCCACCCTGCGCGTGGAAGTCGTCCAACTCAGCGACGCCGGGGAGTACCAATGCTTGGTGCGGAACGACGCGAGCGAAGATGTCAGTGAGCCAGTGACGCTGACCGTCCTGGGTGAGTACACGCAGAGAGACGCGTCCTGTGGCCCAGCTGTGAAGTTTTCACAGAAGAGGCTGCCCCTTAGAGAAGAACAACCCCCCCCCCGCCCCCCACAAACCGATCTCATCGTGTAGCTTACACGCCCAGACTGCCTGCCCCTCGGATGGCTGAAATGCATTCGAAATATGTTATCAATGATAACGAAAAATACATTTAACATAATCCATTGCCTGTTGATTAACTGTGACCAATCCGACCATTGAAATGTATATGACTATACATTAACCCCACCTTCAGTAACGGGAAGACTTCTTCGCAATTCTGGCGAATCGCCTGATGAAGCCGGTTGTATCCACCAGCGAAACGTCATACTCAGAGTGTAAACGTCGTGGGTTTTACTCTCCAACACACCGGTGTGCTGAAGTAGTAACGAATTGGCACATTTTGTTTTACACGACTAACCTTACTAATTGGCTGTGTTGGGTGGGGATGGGTCAATGACACATTGATATATTTACGCGCGATAACCCCAAAAAAAACATTTGCTATGAATAATTTTGGTCGCGATAGCCGACTACGTTTTGAAAAAAAAAATAGACTGGAAGGTCACGGTCAAGTGAGTCGATGATGCAATCCATTGTGACGTCAAACCCATACGCTGTCGCAGAACAACGGTCAAGTGAGTCGATGATGCAATCCATTGTGACGTCAAACCCATACACTGTCGCAGAACAACGGTCAAGTGAGTCGATGATGCAATCCATTGTGACGTCAAACCCATACGCTGTCGCAGAACAACGGTCAAGTGAGTCGATGATGCAATCCATTGTGACGTCAAACCCATACGCTGTCGCAGAACAACGGTCAAGTGAGTCGATGATGCAATCCATTGTGACGTCAAACCCATACGCTGTCGCAGAACAACGGTCAACCGAGTCGATGATGCAATCCATTGTGACGTCAAACCCATACGCTGTCGCAGAACAACGGAGTGATTTCATGAGAGCGCTCTCCCTGAGCCGATTTTAGAGTCTTGTTTTTTGCCATTCACGGAAGCTTCAAACTCCTGTCGGACAACCGTGGACACTCTGCCTTGGTGTGTATTTTCAAGAGGGAAAGCCGTGTGTTGTTATGGGTTGTTTCTTCCACTTATTGACATTGAATCCGAATTTTTTTTTAATGCGACACTGGAATTTCCCCGTCTGAAAATGTGCAACGTCCACAATGCGGAGAGATGACTTCCTCTTTGGTTCTTTCGGTAAAGTCACGTAGAATGATAATAAAATAATAAATTGATAAAATAAAATAACACAATAATATTCTCACGACGTTTCGGCCACTTGTGTTGTGGTCGAAACGTCGTGAGAATATTATTGTGTTATTTTATTTTATCAATTTATTATTTTATTATCATTCTACGTGACTTTACCGAAAGAACCAAAGAAGATGAATCATTGCAGTCACGAAAGCTTTAAATCGAGATGACTTCCGTTGAATGTTTCTTCCAAAATAAATTCATCCCGAAATTTACCCCAAACTTCAAAAGAGAACATCCCCGTAATCGCTGCCGTCATATCACTGACACAGCTCGACTCACAGGGCCACCGGGGGGTGTCCTCCGGCATCCATCCGAACAACGATGACCGGCAACGCACACGCACTGCCCTCGATTTCGGTCGTCAACAACCGATGTCGGCGGTGCGTGAAGCGAATGACTTTGGTGCGACTGGCACACAAGCACGCGGCACAACAAATACCGCGTTCGTCCAACGCGACCGTTTCTTTAAAAGGGCGAACACGCCGAAGGTGACGCTTCGGGCCAAAATGGGCCCCCCCCCCCCCCGCCTCCTTCAGTAGCTGTAACGCGGTGCGGAGAATGTGGCCATTGCCCGAGACGTCACTTATCAGTTCGTCGTTTCTCCCCGTGCCCCGCAGAGTCGCTCTCCAAGCCGGAGGTGAAGGTGAACGACAGCGCGGCTCGCGATGGCGATGTCCGCGTGGTGCGCCTGGACTGCCGGCACGGCGGGCGAGCGCGGGGCCGCGGCGCGTCGTACGCGTGGCTCCTGGACGGCCGCGAGCTGACGGAGGAGCCAGGGATGTACGAGACGTCGGCCGACGGCGCCTCCCTGCTGGTGCTGCCCGCGGCTCGCGGCGCTTCCGGAGAGTTCCAGTGCGAGGTGCGCAACGGCCTGAGGAGCAAGAAGAGCGAGCCGGTCAGGTTGGCCCCTCCCGGTGAGATCTCGATGCAGAGCGAATCCGGTGGCTTTGTTGCACGTCACCTGCAATCCAGACAAAGGGTTGTTGGGTGGAACGCACACACGATGATGAAACGTCCCTCCGTGGCCGCAGCCGCCGAGGTCACCCTCTCCTATCTTGTGACCGGGGTATGAGATTAATTATTCATATTATTATTATTTTGGTGCTGTCAATTTCCACGTGATACGCCATTTTGTTGAGCTATCATTTGTGGCCAGGTCGCTTCTGAAAAAGTAATAGCTCAGTGGGCCTTACCTGGCACGATAAGAATGATAAAATGTTTACAATGGTTTTAATCAATGTCCGCAGATGAGAGTGCAAGGTCACCACAAGTTGGCCACGTAAGTGGGCGGGCGCAATGGGAGCTCCTGTGACGTAGGACACCTCACGTGGGAATGCCCACAGAGCGTCGGATCTTTCCGCGCTCAGCTTCGTTGGCGCTCGACCGGGGTTCCAGCTGGATTTCACTTCCGAAAAACTTTAAACGGCCTACGCCGAATTCTGGCTTCACCGAAACTGACTTTGAGGGGATTTTAGCGTAAAAAAATGCAAAAAAGTAAAAGGCACAGCCCTGCAATAGCTTAGTTTAACCCGCAGGCTTTCGCAACCAATGTTATCCATAATAGAGGGTTTCTTGGGTTAAATCGCCTAAATATAAATGTGTTGTTAAACTCGCCACCACCCGACACAGCCAATCAGTAAGGTTTGTCACGTAAACAAAGCGGGCCAATTAGTTACTATCCATAACAGAGGTTTTTTGGCTTAGATCGCACACATATATAAATGTGTCGTTAAAACCCGCCACCACCCAACACAGCCAACTAGTAAAGTATGTCAGTGAACAGAATATGACCAATTCGTCACTCGTACAGCACACCGGTGTGTTGAAGAGCCAAGCCACAACATTTACAAGCATCAACAGGCGACAGCCAGATTTGTGGAGAAGTCGAACTGATTCATTCCTTATATAGAGGCGTAGATGTGGTGACCACGCTTCTGCGCTCTTGCACAAAGTCGGGGGGGGATCACTGAGTCAACGTACATTATGCATTATGCGAGCACTTTGAACTTGTCCTCCCTGTACATTGTGTGTATTAAAATAGCCGTACCAACCGTTATCCCTATTGAAGTATGCTGCCCTTTAAGGCATGCATTTAAACAATGTATTATTTGATGATTCGCTTCCATGCAGGCAGTAGCTAACCGGACGGTTCCAATTATGTATTATTTATTTCAATTTCGCTAGATTATCTAATTCGTCTTGGGCCAGTAGTAGCTAGTTTTGCAAAGAACTTCAACATGATCAAAATCAATTGAGTGTCCTTGTTGGCACGCGTGTTTTGCTACTGCTACCTCTATTATGGATGATATTGGTCGCGAAAGCCTACGTGTTAAACCAATTAGTTACGCGTTCAGCACACCTGTGTGTTGGGAGAGTAAACACACAACATTTACAATTCGAGTGTACCGTTACGTTTCGCGGGTAATTGCTTTGCTAACGCCACTGCTGATGGAAGGGCCGACCACTAGATATAGCTCTAGAGAGCCCCGCTTAGTTGGAAATTGGCCTACTCTTCCACGCTGGACAGACGTCTTGGGAGATGTAGGAGTACACAACTCCTTTACCGAGTGGACTCACTGCGGTTGAAGGCCATTTTTGCTGCTGGGTGGGCAGAGCCAGAGGATTTCAGACAACGCATTGCACCGGTGGCCACTGGTGTTGCAAGTTTCATTGCGTTCACCGTTACATCACGGCATCAAGTGGATTTACTGTGCAAAAAAAAAAGAAAGTCGACATAAGTTTCCAGTTTAAACAATTGTGCGTGCTGTTAATATCCTCTGCCACTCCCATAGCCTAAAAATCCCCCTTCCATCCAAGTTAATGAGTTTCCTCTTCTCTGATTATGATTGACTCCCTCCTTATCTGGTAATATAAATAAGCCTCCTTTCCCCATTATACCCCGGTCCCAGTTTTCTGCAAAGCGTGCTGCAATACAGAGGAAATTCCAAGGTATGGTGCCAGGGATGAGTCTATCCATAGGAAAACAACAGTTGACTTCTCACAAAGCGGTAATTATCTTATTGGCCCTGAAGGAATGAACGTGCACAGTTAGGTACGTGTGTATTGCGAAATAAGTGTATGCAAGATAATCAAATGAATTTAACAAAAATAAACAAAATTAGACTGTACGTTTACACACCGTACAGTTAACCAACCCGGTAGCTCGAAAGTTGTGAAGTCCACATCATGGATGGGGGTCGACTCAGCTCATTATCCCTCCTGGGTCGATCAAATAAATACCAATGTGTGGGGCAGTCAACAGGGGGTTTTCCTGTAGATTGACTCGCCCCTGCCATAAGAATGGGGGAATTTCCACCACTGGCTCAAGTCTGTAATAATAATACATTTTATTTGTGAGCGCTTTTCTGAATACTCAAAGACACTTTACATAAAATCATAAAAGCAGCAAAAACAACATCAAATGGTAAAAAACACTAAAAACACATCAAACTTAGCTAAACATTAAAAGCAATTTTAAAAAGATGAGTTTTAGTCAATGATTTGAACGCTGGAAGGTCGGTGCAGTCACGGATTTGTTTTGGGAGAGAGTTCCAAAGTGAGGGGGCAGCTATAGAGAAGGCTCTGTCGCCCCAGGTTCGATGCTTGGTCCTGAGAGGTGGAGTCAGGAGGTTGGCGTCAGATGAGCGAAGGCTACGGGATGGGTTGTGGCGGTGGAGCAGGTCAGTGAGGTAGGAAGGGGCCTGGTTATGAAGGGTTCTGGAGGACAGGGGTAATGTGGTCACCGGTGCGGATGTGAGTGAGCAGACGAGCAGCAGAGTTCTGGATGTACTGGAGTTTATTTAATGTTTTGGTTGAGGTGCCGTATAGGATGCTGTTGCAGTAATCAATTCTGGAGGTGATGAAGGCGTGGATGAGGGTTTCTGCAGCGGAGAAAGAGAGTGATGGGCGAAGTCTGGAGATGTTTTTGAGGTAAAGAAAGGCAGTTCTGGTGATTTGTTTTACGTGGTGTTCAAAGGAGAGGTTATTGTCAAAAAAGACTCCAAGGTTGCGACTTTGAAGGGATGGAGACAGGGTGAAGGTGTCGACAGTGACGGAGAGACTACGAATGGATTTAGTGATAGATTTGGGACCAATGATGATCATATATGTTTTGTCGCGGTTAAGTTTAAGGAAATTGGTGTGCATCCACGATTTAATGTCAGCGAGGCAGTTAGAGAGAGTGGAGTGGGTGGCGGAGGTGATGGATTTGGTGGAGATGTAGAGCTGGACATCATCGGCATAGCAGTGAAAGTTAAGACCATGGTGGCGAATGACGTTGCCAAGGGGAAGCAGGTTTAGTATGAAGAGCAGAGGACCAAGCACCGAGCCCTGGGGGACACCTTGGGACAACGTAGCGGTGGAGGAGGTGCAGTTGTTGATGTGGATGAACTGTCGTCTGTCGGTGAGATAAGATTGGAGCCAGGAGAGGGCGGTGCCAGTGATGCTGAGGGAAGATTTGAGGCGAGAGAGAAGAATGGTGTGGTTGATAGTGTCAACAGCTGAAGTGAGGTCCAGACAGACCCAGGGAGCAGCAGCTCAGGCAGGCCCAGGGAGCAGCAGCTTAGTGACGTTCTGTTTACGTGACAACCCTGACTCGTTGGCTGTGTCGGGTGGTGGCGGGTTTTAACGACACATTTATATATCCCATAGGTCTGTTCGTAAGTCGATTTGTTTGTAACTTCAACTTTATTAATTCCAAACATGGTGTATGGGGAATGGCTGTAAAAGTTGTCCACAGTAATCTCCTGTAGATGCCACTAGTTCTTTATGTTCTGCAGATGTAGATGCCACCACCGCCATCTATTGCGCGGTTGAACTTATGGCTCTCTGTCCGAACAGGCAAAGAGGAGGTTAACACTGTCTCAAAGCTCATTTGAGCAGTAAAATCACTTTTGAGTAATGCACAACCTCTGCTCTCATGACTGTATTAAGCTTATATCACCATCATGGTCAGCAACTCAACTTTAGGCCTCTAGCAATTATCTGAATTATCGCAATTAGGCGATTCAGGATCAATGTTCCATTCGAGGATCAATTTGTGTAATACTGTACGGTGGTGAACGCAGTCGCTTCTGGTAGCAGCAGAGGTCACATTATATATAAAGAAAAAACATTAACCACAAAGGTATGCGACTTGATAATAATCGATTATAATTGAGACATCAATGCATCGTTAAGCAGCAGCAGAGTTCACATGAAATATAAACAAAAACATTTACTACAAAGGTATACGACTTGATAATAACAATCGCTAAATTATAATTGATACGTCAATGCATCGTTAAGCTTACCGAATCAACTCACGCCACGGCATTTTGAAAGCCCCCAATGAACCCACCCCCCCCACCAACCGGGACACGTTGACAACGTTCACTCATCACGGGAGCGCAGCGCCGTGGTTTTGAGGATTGGTTACCCCCCCCCCCCCAAGTGACTGCGTCCGCCGAGCGTCCCCTAGGTCGACTCAGCCTCAAATGAGTACCACCGGGGGAGACAGGACAACATCAGGTGCTCGCTAACCGCACTTGCCCCAACGGGTCTGTTAAGGCTACACGTGTGTGTGTGTGGGATCTTCGTGTGTGCGTGTGCAGCCAGGGCGAAGGCAAGCCCCCAGGTGATCTTGGGGGCCACGCTGGGCACCCTGGTGTCAGCGGCGGCCGCGGGACTCGTTTTTTGGACTTACAGGAAAGTCGCCTTCAGCAGGAGGTGAGGGCCTCGACTCTTCGCAGGCACGCGCGTGATGAGAACACGTGATGAGAACACGCGCGTGTTCTCATCACACGTGTTGTCATCACGCGTGTTCTCATCACGCGTGTTCTCATCACGTGTGTTTTCATCACGCGTGTTCTCATCACGTGCGTTCTCATCACGCGCGTTCTCATCACGCGCGCGTTCTCATCACGCGTGTTCTCATCACGCGCGTTCTCATCACGTGTTCTCATCACGCATGTTCCCATCACGCGTGTTCTCATCACGCGTGTTCTCATCACGTGTTCTCATCACGTGTTCTCATCACGCGCGTTCTCATCACGTGTTCTCATCATGCGCGTTCTCATCACGTGTTCTCATCATGCGTGTTCCCATCACGCGTGTTCTCATCACGCGTGTTCTCATCACGTGTTCTCATCACGCGTGTTCTCATCACCTGTTCTCATCACGCGCGTTCTCATCACGTGTTCTCATCACGTGTGTTCCCATCACGCGCGTTCTCATCACGTGTTCTCATCACGTGTTCTCATCACGCGTGTTCTCATCACGTGTTCTCATCACGCGTGTTCTCATCACGTGTTCTCATCACGCGTGTTCTCATCACGTGTTCTCATCACGCATGTTCCCACCACGCGCGTTCTCATCACGCGTGTTCTCATCACGCGTGTTCTCATCACGTGTTCTCATCACGTGTTCTCATCACGCGCGTTCTCATCACGTGTTCTCATCACGCATGTTCCCACCACGCACGTTCTCATCACGCGTGTTCTCATCACGCGTGTTCCCATCACGCGTGTTCTCATCACGTGTTCTCATCACGTGTTCTCATCACGCGTGTTCCCACCACGCGCGGTCGTCGCTCGTTCCTCATTCGTTCATCGTCGTCTTCCTTTTACTGTCATAGAATTCGCTCTCGCCGAATCCACGCATCACAGATTCGCTGTTTGCTTCCTCTCATCCGTTTTATTCACCTCAACTCCGCCATTGCATTCTTCATATGCACCGTTCTTAATTCTCTGTAAAGTGCCTTGGTTAAGGCGCCACGATAAATGACGTTAAGATAAGATGAGCGCCACAGGCCCAAGGGCCCAAATTTCCCAGCGGACAGCTAAAAAAATGCCAGCACCGTTGTGTGTACGCTGAACTTCTTTCGCGCCGTACATAGTCAACTGTGCTTATCGGGAGGTGTGAACATCATGCATGTTGCTGCTGGGCCGGTTTGGAGTAACGAGAATCCGTGTAAGGCACTACCACTAGAGTACCAGTGGTAGTGCCTTACGCCTATTGTTATTGTGACCTGTTCGTTTAATCCGATAAGTCGATCGTACGGCAGTGCCGTGAGGATAAGAGAGTGAGAGATGGATGTGACACGCCACAAGAATTCCAGGAATATCATTTCGGACTATTCCGCCTGATATTTAGCACTGGATGTATCAATATAGGTGCTCGCTAACAGCACTCGCCCCAAACGTCTGTGAAAGCAAAAAAAAAATACTCTTTGGTTCTTTCGGTAAAGTCACGTAGGTAGAAAAAAAGAATAGATCACGACGTTTCGATCGCAACGCAAGCGACCGTCTTTAGGTGAGAGAGAGAAATCTTCTGAAACAAAGCCTTGTGTAGGCCTGAGATGGGTGCAACCTCAGGGTAAGAGGGCGGGTCTAGAGTATGGATTCCTGCAAAGCTTCAAATCAAGACTAAAAAAATTTTCGATTTGAAGCTTTCGTGACTGCAAGGATTCATCTTCTTTGGTTCTTTCGTTAAAGTCACGTAGAATGAGAATAAAATAATAAAATAAAACAAAAAAATTCTCACGACGTTTCGGCCGCCACAACACAAGTGGCCTTCTTCAGGTGAAAGGAACAAACCTGTCGGGACGACAGAGCTTCAATGAACGCTGCTAAGATTCGCAGCGTCTTTTAAGCTGGTTGAGAGAAGTGAGGCACCTTGACAAAGGGGTTTACATATCAAACAGGAGAATTTAGCATTGAAACAGTTGAGGGATTCGCTTGTGATTGGTCACAGAAATAGCTATGTTAAAGTCAAAGCCTACACATCCACAGAGGCATCTAGTGCATAGACGCCAAAGGGGCTGCAAGAACTCAACTAGCATACAGTAAACCGATGTGAAGAAAAACCCAAGTCTAAATTACATCAATATAATAAATGTACTCAATATATTCTTCAATAAGCAGAGCTATTAACAGCAACTGGGTATACACTACACTATATAATGAATACCATATAGTAAACAGATAAAAAACTAAAATATTAACTACCTCAATGTTATCAATAGACTCTATATATTCTCCAATCAGCTGAGCTACCAACAATAAGTCGTTATATATCACGATGCTATATGGCGAAAAAATTGGGTGGATTCTTACCCTCCACATCAGCACCACGGACCGCTACGAGCCCCGTTCAGACGGACGAGTCCATCATGGTCGGAACGGAGGAGAGAAACAGCTGCGAGGCGCTGTTATAATCATGTTATAAACCATACCATTAACCGTGGTGTGAGAAGTATTAAGAGTCAATGCCAGCGAAAGAGCTGCGGTCTGAAGGTCACCATAAAATAATTAATCAAGAACCGAAATGGTTTCAAACATCTTTCCAATGGTTACTAAGCCAGAATCCATCTTCTCGGTTGAAATTGTCTCTGTGCTTGTATATGTGGATAGCCTCATGAACGAATCTCTCATGGTAAGCCGGTTGGCTTGCAAAGAACCTCCGTCTTGGAGAAGTCAATGTCATGTGAGCCCACTGAATTATATTTATATATATAATTAATCGGTTTACTGTATGATAGTTGAGTTGTTGCAGCCCCTTTGGCGTCCATGCACTAGGTGCCTCTGTGGATGTGTAGGCTTTGACTTTAACATAGATATTTCTGTGACCAGTCACAAGCTAATCCCTCAACTGTTTCAATGCTAAATTCTCCTGTTTGATATGTAAACCCCTTTGTCAAGGTGCCTCACTTCTCTCAACCAGCTTAAAAGACGCTGCGAATCTTAACAACGTTCATTGTAGCTCTGTCGTCTGGACAGGTTTGTTCCTTTCACCTGAAGAAGGCCACTTGTGTTGTGGCCGAAACGTCGTGAGAATTTTATTGTTTTATTTTATTATTCTATTCTCATTCTACGTGACTTTACCGAAAGAACCAAAGAAGACTAAAAAACATATTTAGATTTTGGGTGTTGAGTGTGTATATACGTGTGTATGTTATCTGTATATATTTGTATACGGTATGTGTAAGTGGTGTGTACATATACGGTACTATACGTTTGTGTAAACGTTTATATATTGTGTGTATACGCGTATATGTGTGGAGCAGTGGCGCAAAGGGTAGGGACAGCGTTCAAAACTCGGCGACTTGATATCGGTTCCTGGCCACGGCTAACATCAGTGGTAAGTGATATCCCCATAGGTCGACTTTGTTACTTGGACGAGTGCGTGATGTGGTGTGTAAATATCAGCGCGGCGGAGCGAATATCGCCCAGCACCGGTAGTGTCCAGCCACACCGCATCGCCAGTAAACGTGAAACGGTTGGACCAACGTTGACCCAACGCTGGTCCAACAGTTTACAAACACATTCCAACGTTGCCCCGATGTTGAATGTTTAATGGGTTCGCTCGCTAACAGCGCTCTGGGTTATCAAGCATAATAACCGCATGCAGTGTTCCCTCGTCAAATGCGAGGGATGCGTTCCGGAGATGCTCGTGAATAGCCCTAGATAACATGTTTATAAAAAAAAAAAATTACCTTAAATAAATGCGTAAATAAGCAATGAAATACGCAGAAATGATCTCATCACTTTATCTCATCACTTTCTCGCATCACATTCTCTCTCATCGCTTTCTCTCTCTCTCTCTCTCGAGATGCACTCGTGTAAAGTTCCAGATGTGATTCGCGGTTTATCAAGTTCGTAAATAACGAAGGAACGCTGTAAAGTGAAAGCGGCACGACAGTGGCTGTTGCTGCACTCAACCTCTGCCACCCAATCACGGTGGCCTCGCGTTCCTGCGTTGTCCGCGATAAGTGTCCAACGTCTCCTGTGTATGTATTTCGTTCTCAGTTACGACCTGTGGAAGAGCATCAAGGGCCCTAAACCTCCGCCAAGCTCAAAAACGGCAACCACCAGCGTCTGAGTTGAGCAGTCTTGTCGTCAAAAGTTTGCGCGTGTGTGGTCTGAAGGAGTCGCTGGCCCGTGAGGCTGTGCGCAAGCGATGAGTTTTGAATGTAAATATCTCATGGTTTCGGAAGGCAATTTCAGATCGTTTTTGGATCTTCCGATCGTCCACATTTTTGTTGTGTACTAATTTCAAAACGTCTTCGTGCTAACAATAGTGACGTCACCCAATTCCACGTGACATCGCATTTGGCGAAGAAAGCATGGAGGCGACGCAATGATTTTCGATCAGTCCGAAAGACGTGACATTTTTTGGACTCTCCGAAAAAATTAATTTCTTTGGTTCGATTTTCGCATTATTCAGATTCAATCCGAAAATCTGGAACGCACCCCTACTGTGTGCAGTCACGCGATCACTGCGAGTTATAACACTGCAGAATATTTGATTTGGGGGGGGGGGAGGAACAAAACACGCACCTGAAATCCACCCTTGTGGATCTGATATTTGTTTTTAAATCCTCGATGACAATATTGTAAAATGCAAATGCGCTTGAGTGCAATCGTCATTTCCGTTTACACCTATAAATCCGTGAACACGTCTGGCCAGCGTGGAAGAGTAGGCCAAAACACCGTCTGGGAGGGGCTCTCTAGAGCTCCCTCGAGTGGAGGCTCTTGCACGAGCAGTGGTGTGAGGCAACAATTGCAGCGCTGCACCTTTACCTATACTCACCTCCTGAGATCCACTTTTCAATGTTCTGCTCTCCCATTCTACCATCCAGAAACTACAGTCATTATTTGATCTTTTAGTCAAAGGCCTGACTGTAAGGATTTCCCAAGAAGCACTTATTTTCTATGGGACATATAGATACATGGTACATTATAGAGGTATCCTCCCAATCTCTAACTGGTCATTAGCTTTTGCAAATCTGATAGTACATGAATAAATGGATAATTGGTCAACAGAGAATGTATTACTGTTATTCTCTCCGGATATAAAGCACTTTTTGAGTGTATATTAAAGCAAACGTTATAGATGCATCTGATCATCCATGAGGTGTGTGTACCCAGATTTGTATAACTTGGGGTGCCGTCTCACTGTGCAGTGCCTTTTATAATCCGGAGAGCACGGCAAAACATCGGCTACGTAAACAAAACGAACGCGTAGAAAACAAGAGTATAATTCATGTGCTTGTGGAACTGTGCACAAACCATCGTGGTAAAAAAAAACTGAATTTCTTTTGTTATTTCCTGACCATGTCAATGTGCTTGGTGAGACGCAGCAAGAACACGGCATGATGATCGCAGATGGACGTCGTCCCGTTCACGGTGGTGACATTTTGCATTGCCTCTGAAAACTTTCAGACTGAGTATATTTTTTTTAAATACTGTAGGAGGTCAGATTTAAAATGAAGCTCCCTTCGTCAAAATGTGAGGCTCGTAATTGTCGCTTGGGTATGCGGGAAAATTGTTCAACTCGTTGATGTCGGGAACAAACTGGGCATACCGAGGATTCATTAGTAGCGGCTGATAGTAAAAAATGCATTTAAAGTAGTTTTCTTTAAAAAAATAACAGCAGTTAATTTCGTTTGTTTCACATACAAATAATTTGCCTCCGACCACACACGGTCTGTTCGTTCCTTTATAATGACATAATTTTAGACAGTTTAATTTTTTTAGCCAAGTGCGATATGAATCGATGTTAAATGGAATTTCTGTCGTAAATGATGCATCTTAAATTGAGGTAAATATTTAAAAGAAAAACTACAAATTTAAGTATGCCTTGCAATGTTCTACCTACCGACAGTAATTATTGCAATTCACATATTAAGATAACGATTTTTTAAAAAATATTATCCTTTTAAAGTTGAATCTGAAAACCATCCTTTCAGAGCGTTCAGTGTTTATTTAATCTCGTTTTTTTTTCTCTTACATGAACTTAGGAGTAAAATCTGAGAAAAAGCCTCGAGCACTAATGCAATGGTAATCACATTTACAGTGGCTCCCTTATCAGTTGTTGTTTTTAGAAAGCACATTCACCCAATACTTACAGCAGCAGATTAGCTTGCATCGCGTGATAACATACAACACGCGTGATAACATACAACACGCGTGATAACATACAACAACGCGTAATAACATACATTGCGTAATAACATACAACACGCGTAATAACATTCCATTTGAACAAAAGATAATCCACATTGGATCCTAACATCCCAGAGAATTTCTACCCTATGTGTGTACTTGTGTTGAACGTCTTTCGCACCGCACTTAGCCAACCGTGCTAATCGGAGGTGCGGGGGAAGAACAATAAACTAAACGCAAAAAAAGCAGTTCGCAAAAAAAACGAGTTTTCAATCGACTGTATATTTTTTAAGTGCAAAGCTCCAGTGGCTTCCTAATAGCGGAAGGAAGAGCGTTCCAGACGGCCGCAGAAGCGCGTCTGAAAGCGCGCGATGCAGCGACCGTCTTTTGTTCGATGGTTAGCCAAAAGGCCGCTGTGAGGATGGACCGAAGTTTTGAGAGAAAAATGAATGTGAAAATGCGAATATTTTCTCACGTTCTACCAACAACTTTGTCCCCAGCGTGTTGGTCCAATCTTAGAACGTGCAATTTTATGGCGAAGAAAAACATCTGGCTCCGAAATGTCCTCCAGTGTGTCTGGAACCTTGTGATACAGCCATCACATTCGTTGATTTTTACTTTAGTCCACGTTACATTGTAAAAATAACACCACATAATTATACAGTGATAAGAAGCTATATTAAAGTGGTACTAACATACACTTTGATTCATATATATTTCCGTTAAAATATAATCAAAAGCAGAATGTGAGGATAAAACAGTACGTCTAATAAATTCATATGGTTTAGCCGAAGTTGTGATCGTCCCACTCTTACGGGAAATTGGCAATTGTGAAATTATTTCATATTGACTTCACTTGCAAGTCTTTTTCCCCAATTGCCAAACTCAGATCTCATTTTTTGTTGTTGCAACGAAAGAGCAGTTCGATTTTTTTTATTTCCTCTATGGACACGTAATGGGGTGCATGAGGGCAATCACGTCCTGTAGCGAGACGTGTGCAACTACATTGACCTTGCAGCCAATAAAACTTGCGGTGACGCCGGCACGCGTTGTGACTTCTAAGAGCCTTTATTCAGACACGGCACTCACGATGCCCAGGGCTTGTTCTTGCGAGCCTGAGCTCCATCTCCACTCGAATGTCCCCTCTCCTTGTGCTCGTTTCCTTTTATACCTAACCAAGGCCCCTCTCTGGAAGCTTCGATCACCCCACTCCATTCGGCCAATCCTGACCCTTCTCCACCAACGGCTCTCAAATGTCCTACTACAATCCACCCCTTGTACTTCCCGCCTCTTTAACTTTCAAATCTTTCCTCCAATCCCTTCCAATCTTCGCCTCCACCACCAATCACCGTGGAGGCCTCTCTGCACCAGTGGGAGAACTTGGCCTACGTCCCGATTGTCTGTCTGACAGTACACTTGTGTCAGCTAATCGGTCTGTTATCTCGGTCGTTACAAATCCTGTATCATAGAGATGTTGAAGCCCCGTACGCAGGGATTATTGTCATATGCTACGAAGTTATCAAAAGATCACGCTATCTTGTGTGAGAATATGTATGGGGTTTTGACTGTAAATCTACTGCATACGAGAGACAAAATGCGTAGGACATTTGAGAGTTATAGAAAGTAATATTTAATTGCAATAACACCGATATACTGCACGCGATGAAGGCATTTGCAAGAACAGGTCTATTGTCATGAAAAGCGCTACAGGGTTGCAGGGGTGATCTCGATTGGTGGAAATTCCACTGCCCCATGACAGGCACCAGTCTAGCTACAGTATATGACAACCACTCTTGACTTCCCACAAGGTTGTCTGATTGTTGTTGTTGCCGATTAACAAATCAACCCAGAACGTACCCAATCGTGTCATGCCTCAGAGGCTAAGTAGAGTTCAGTTTCGCGTAATACGACTGTACTTGGATTGGAGACTTGCCTTCGTGTTTACCAGGTTTTGGCTGCCAGGTTTCCAGGGATTGCTGTTAGTGAAGTCTGTTCGATAACGCCGCGTGTTTTCATAACGCGAACGGGACATAACGCGATGAATGCTTTAGGGAACACACTTTATATAACGCGTTTGCGTTATATAAACTGAACGAATAAGCGGTCGTACGGCTGTCTCGGCATAGCGTCATTCAAGGCGGGATGCTGCTGGATGCTTCTAGACGTCACCCACGCGCGTCAGTCTTTGTTCAGCCTGCTTGCACATCTCACTGTGCTTTAGCCTATATAATATACCGCGTCATAGGACAACAGACTGTGCTGCACATAAAATAATTATATCCCTGGAAGGCTTTGAGTTGTTACCACTTATATGCACGGGGTCTTTGCCAGGCACTCCGGATTTTCTCCACAGGCCGGACGTCCATTGGTGGAACCGGCCAAACATCCATGTAGGGGACTCTTGAGAGTGATTTTGGGTTGTGCTACATGTTGCTCGACATGATGTCTTGCCATTTCGTTCCACGTTGCTGGGAGATTACTTTAGGAAATGAGGGCCTCTATGAAAAAGGCTTTCCCAGGCGAGTTAGATCACTATTGTTGCCTACATTGTGCAGATGACAGGCGTAGTTGTCCCGCTCTTCCTTAAGTGCTATTCTCGACCCAATATTGTGCAACAAATGGGTCTTCGATAGCGAGTATTTCCCCCAAAGTTACCGCACATTACAGAGCAAGTGATTTCGCATGCAAACACATATTTGTGTTGTTTTCAATTGAACGCTTTCGACATTTTAGTTGTATTTTGATCATGTACTGTACATGTACAGGCCTTTACCAATCCACTGATGAATGAGGGTCTCCTCTCCGTGTCGTGCGTTTGGGAACGAGGTTGGGGGCAGTTATTTGACCATACTTCACCACGCTGCTTTTCTGCACTGATCTCTGATGCCCACAATGTAAGGTGTGGTTCAGTATATTTAATATATAAAAAATAAACAATTAAGACATTTCTTTTGGTGCACTGAAATGGCCAATTTCTGTGAATGAAATTGTAGACTGTTATCGTGAAAATCGTCATATCGTGGCCTTTATTATCATCGTGAAAAGAAATGCATGTTGCGTCGCCCCTAGTTTGGATAACCATGCAACGGCAAACGGGCTGACATTGCCCTCTCCACGTAGACTAGGGGTGGGGAACGTCCGGCCCACAGGCCGTATAGGCCCCACGAAATCATTTGGTGTGGCCCTGCCAAGGCAACCGCAGGCGGGACTCGAAATTCAATAAATCTAGGAGCAAACCTGGAAAAGCAGTTGCGAGTAGCAACATCATCAATACCAGCTAACATCATCGCCACGCCTCACCCAAAGAGAAGGCAGTTCCAGCCATCACATTAGGGGTGAGTTCATAAAATATTTGACCAAATATAACGGGCTAATTTTTAAGTTGATACTTTTGTATGGCCCGCAAATGATGTTATAAATATCCAAATGGCCCCTTGGCAGAAAAAAGGTTCCCCACCCCTGACGTAGACCAAGGTTCTCCACATGTGGTGGCCAGGGCATGATGCTCACCTTTCTTGTGAGCTCTCCAAACTCGTGAGCTCTTCAACCAGCTTTTACAGTTAGCACAATGCACACCTGCACAAGACTTGAATGGTAAATTCGCTAAAATTTTAGCCCGCTGCAGTGTTGTTATTGCTATCAAGCAGCGTTAATGTCAACGGTGATAGCGAGAACATGTTTGAGTCGTGGCTTAATGCACGGTTTTCAGCGAGGTTTCCGGATTATAATCTATTATCGGTAAGGAATTATATTTTGCCGAGTGCAGTGTGGTTTCACTTGCCATTGAATTATTCCATGTGGTTAACGGTGTCAGTAACTTGATCACTTGTATGTATATATGTTGAACTTCTTTCGCACCATACGTCGTCAAGTGTGGCAATCGGAGGTGCGGGGAAATATATATTTTTTGTAAAGCAATCCATTTTATATTGTAAGTTGTATCGTCCGCTAAGTTTTTTTATATATACATATATAAATATGTTATGTCTTAAGCAGTGCTTGTATTTAAACAAAACGTACAGTGTGTGACATTTATCAAAAAATTAAAAAAATCGAACAAACTTTAAGTGAAAATTTTGTTTTGTTTTCCAATCATACTGCTTTTATTTCAGTGCAAAACTGCTCGTAATTATAATAGTTTTCTACTCAACGTTACAACTAGATCAAAATAATGAATCCGATCTTGAAAAATAAGCATGATTTGAGTCTGGATATTGGATAGATGAGTGACTACCGGTGGTGGCATAAGGCTTAAGCAAACGATTAAGGCCCCAAATAGCTCAAGCAGCCTCGTACTCAAGAAAACAGAGGTGAACCAAATACGGTGTCAGGTTAAATTCAAATCCTATTGTAAAAAAGCTGATTTAGCATAAAGTAAGTTAAACTCTCTCGTTCTTACCTTGTCAATGTATCTCTTCTCTCACGTTTAACTGGACATCTGTGAAAAAGAGCTTTATAGCTCATCGGATTCCTCCTGTTTATATAAAAATATATATTCTTATTCTGAACTACATCTATTTCTTGCCTACACTTCCTTCATTTCATTAAATTTCTGTCTCTTCCGTGTCTCCTCATCTCATAAGAGCTGTGTCGTTTGTCTACATTTCTCTCAACTTCCTGCATATCTAGCTCTCATCTCAATCTCTTCTATCGTCTCACGAAGAGCTTACACATGGAATAGGGGCTAACCCAAAAGTATATTCTTTGCTTCTACCTAGGGCCCCCAATAGGCCAGCACCACCACTGGTGGCCACCGTGCATGACATAAGTGTTAAACGGCTTCTGCGGGACTACCTTGTCAGCAGAAGATAATGCGTTAAAATCAATCGTTTCACTGCACTATGCTCCAACATCTTTGCTCCGTGCCTTCACCAACCACTTGACTGGCATGGTAAAGTCAAGGTCAGAGGAGTCCCGTGAGCGCCACGGCGTGGGGGAGACCTCCTCATCCAGAGAGTCGATTGGAGCACATATACGTAAGGCTAATATGTTTTTTTTATCGCGAACAAAACCATGTGTAGTAATCGCATTTAAACCTTTATATATATAATCATCTAAGAGTCCACTGCAACCAGGGGTGCTGTTCGTGTGCATTATTTTGCCGCTCAATGATATCTCTTTTC